ACATAATGGGACCCCAAGTTTTTATCAGGGTCTTTAGCTAACCAGAGCACACAAGGGATGACAAACAGTATTTCTAAGGAAGGTGCTCTGCTGGGAGGTTGAATACAAGAAAATGAAATGAGGACTCAAATGTATCCCAAATACCACCAGTTCAGAGTCCAAAGAAAAAAAACAAAACCCAAGATTAAGCCAAGTACCTTTAGCCAGTCTTTTTCCTTTATCTGCAAAGAAAAGCAATCTTTACAAAATGATAAAGCCATCCAAGAATGGCCGTGGTTGTTTCTTTTAAATGAACCAGAGAGAACAGATGGTCTCCTCTCATGCTGTCACAAATGTCAAAATTAGCCACCCCTAAGACTAGCAGGTTCTTGAAATGCTCAAGTGCTTGTGTCTGGTTGTTATGATTAATCCACGCTCCAGAACAAGAAAGGTCAAATGAAGAACACTCCTCCAAATACTGCAACAACTCCTAGCCATGGCTGATGTGTAATGCACTCAGACATGGTGTCAACAGCTGCTCCCAAAACCCAATGAGTCAGCCTTTCGAAAGAGCTTGTCAGCTCTCTGTTAGAGCTTTCATATAGATTATATTTACTCCCCAATGTTTAAAAATATCCTTCTTAAGCCTTGAAAACATAAAATGTTTTCCTTGCAGAGTTTGTCCTTTTTCCCCAGACAGCTGCCCAAGAATGTCTCATGTATTTATTTGGGAACAAAACTTCCTAGCATTTCTTTCATTTTCCTCTTCACGTACTGACAGCTAAACCAAAGGCAGGCCTCTGTTTCTGAAGTCATGTACAAATGAAGAATTTCTGGTCCCTTCCACAACTTTTACCTGCAAACCACAGTCAGCCTTCCAGAGTGCTGTGAGGTTAAGTGTTCTGCTCAGCAGATAGGGTACAGAGACATTGGGTGGTTTGCCTTTGGTCCTACAACAGGCATGCAGGCACAAATCCCCTATCCATCCCCTACTCTAATCACCAATCTCCCTTGGATGCTGTCATTTAAATAAAAAGGCCTATTGGAAATGACAGGTGAAGAAAGCAGTCCAGGCATGAAATGCACTCTAAAGTATATTAATAGAAGGTTGCCAGACAAAACGGCACAAGGCATTTGATCGCATCATCTTAGGTTTGTTGTTCATGCTCCTTTGCATCTGGCTGCATGATTTCTGCCAGATTCTCGGCTGGAGGAGCAGGCTAGGATTTGCCTGCTTTCCCTAACCCGTGCCGGGCTCAGCTGCAATCATGCAGAGCACTGAAAGAAATCCCTTTGAGTCGGGATTCATTCTGAACATGTAAAACCCAGACAAATGACTGCTTCTCCAAAGTGAATCCTATTTCACAGCAAGTAGGTTATTAGTGTGGAACTCCATACAAGTAGCCTGCATTCAAAAGCCCTCTGCATTATTAATAGAAGATGAGCTTTTGACATCAAAGGAGAACCATTATGTATGCTAAACGGTGGCAAAAATTGTACCCGCACTTCAAACCTTTTCAGTTCTTTGTCCCTCGTAAATCAATCAAGGTTGACAGATGCTTTAAGGAGAGTAATCTTTTCAATGATACTGTCAATGGATAACATAATGGAACATTGTCTCTGTGCTGTGTGAAGACATGGAGCTAGTCAATTATGGACAACACTTCATGCAGCCGCCAGTTTTCACTTGAAGTGCTGCTGTTGAAGTATTATAATCCCAACAAATGGCCGCAGCAGCATACAATGTAAATGAGACCTCCTGAAGCTTTGGAAAATTAATTAGTAACAACAGTGGTCCATTCCCACACTTTCAAACACCAGCCTGGTAATGTTAACGATGCACTTCCCCCCTTCCCTTTGAGCAGTCAATAGGGCATATTTACATACACGATTTTTAATCTTCAACACTTTCCCCCCCTCCCCCCTTTTTAAATGTAGGAAGCTCTGGATTCTTTTCCTCTCTTTTGAGCAGCAAACTTTACCCCTGATATTTCCAACCAGTCACATAACCCACATGGCTGGAGCTGAAAACAAGAGAACAGAGACTTTCCCACTTGGAGACTGGAGTAATATTCACTCCTCTTGCTTTACACACGTTGGACACTTTGTGGCTGTCTCATTTTCCAACACTTCTATCCCCTCAGCTGCCCTGAGAAGAATGGCTTGGATGGATGGCAGGGGAAAAGCTTCCGGTCTCAAGAGGCCAGTAGGATATGAGCTGAAAGCCCAATGTGCTGAGGGCCAGCAGCACCTAGGTCAAACTGTGGGGCACTCAATGCCAACATATATATCCACTTGCTAGCTTCTACAGAAAGGAGATCGAGAGTCAAAGGGGAGAGTCTGCGCTGTTTATTTAGCTATTGGCTTCTATTTCCTACGTCATTTCCTCAAAGATTTTCCCTTGTCAACGTAGGCTTGCACTAAGAGGAACACTTAGTCTCCCACAGTAAGAGAGAGAAATCCCACACTTGAGCACAAAATTTCAAAACTCCTATCAATTGCAAGTTTTCATTGCTATGATCTGTGAATGCCCCCTTATCTATAAGGTGTTTTTGAAGCAACCAGGTGCAGATAAGAAACTCAATCACTGAGGTCTTCTTGGACTAGAACAGGCTGTTCCTTGAACCCAACTCCCTCTTCCCCAGGCTCCAAACAGCTGGGAACAGATGCAGCTGCTGTCCCTCCTCATTTAGTATGGATTTGGTCTTCTGCACTCTGGACAGTTTTCTGAGAAGCCCTTGCAGTGGTTGACAGGAGAAAGCTTCACACTGCAGGAGTCCCCCAAACCCCCCAAAGATACAGACAATTGTTAAACAATACTGACAATGGTTAAACAACACTATGAGGAAACAGAGGAAGCAACAGCAGCCACACAACCTCCCTAAGGCATTACCCAGCCATCTGCCACTGCTGGTCCCAAGAAGAAAAGGGAAATGTTTGTTCTACTACAGGTCCCTCTCCTGGGAATAGAAAAGGCAGAGGAAAGGATATCTTCTGCCTAGCCTTAGAAAAGTCAGAGACTGATCCAAAATTTTTCCCACTCTTGCATGAAACATATAGTCTTAAGCTGTGCCAGGGGAGGTTCAGGTTAGACATTAGGAGGCGTTTCTTCACAGAAAGGGTCGTTAGGCATTGGAATGGGCTGCCCAGGGAGGTGGGGGAGTCACCATCCCTGGAGATGTTTAAGAAAAGACTGGACGTGGCACTTGGTTCCATGATCTAGTGGACATGGTGGTGTTAGGGCAAAGGTTGGACTCGATGATCCCAGAGGTCTCTTCCAACATAATCAATTCTGTGATTCTGTGAAAACAAACTACCATGAAATAGAGAAACAGACAGGAATCAGGAGGTTTCAATTCCTCCTTCCTTTTTCTGGAACAGGTCTGACAAGAAAACAGTGACACAACTCCATTTCTATACTGACTTCCCACTCAAACTCCACCGTGCAATATGCACAAACGCAAGACAAAAAAAATTCTGTATTGCATCTTGATGAGAAAGCTTTAGGCTAGCATTCTTGCCATGATGAAAATGGCCTTTTTTCCAATTACTATTTCTTTTGCTGTGCGGACTTGTCTGCTTTTTTACCTGGTTTTAGATTTTGTTTCTCTAGAGCTAAACACATGGAATGCTGCAAGGTCCCTATCCTCCTCCACTTACCACATCTGCCACAAGTTGGTTGGGACGGCATTGCAGGGGAGGCAGGCACCATGCCCCAGCTGTCCCCATCTTGGAGAGAAGACCCAGGTTTCTCTCTCAGTACCAGAAGGATGAAGTATAAGCAAACAGGGGACAGTAGAAACTGGGAAAATGTATGGTAGGTAACAAACAGGATTAATAACATACAGAGATAAAATCAAGGCCCAAACAGTAGGTTCTCCTGCTCTTCTCTGCTTGGTGCAGAATTCCAAAGTAATTTTTAATTGAGCCTGTTCCATTATATAGGTGCCAAATGTCATCCACTGCCTTCTCTCCCCACAGCTCATGCCTTGGCTGAGATGCATTTCTGAATACTCCTTATCCCAGTCAAAGCAAAATTGGACACCAAACACCTCTTACTTGAAAGACTGTCCACTTAAGCAAACCTGGAGTGCATAGATTGAAACAGAGCAAGGGGTAGCGGCATAGTAGTAGCTCAGCTGGTAGCTCCACAGGTGTGTCTGGTGGGCCAGGAGAAGCAAAGAAGCAGTTGCAGGCAGGCTTGGGTGTTGTGTGTTCTACTTGCACAGCTTTCAAGGAAAACTGATGCACAAAAGAGGCTATAGAAAGGCCCTTGGTGTCATACTTGCACACAAAGTTGCAAGACCCTGGACCAGAGTCTCAAATCTACGGGACTTCTGCAGAGGTACTGCAACCAATGTGTGCTAGGGACCTGTTCTACTCTATTTGAAACTTCCTCTAAAAACATATGCCCTTTTCCAACTCATTTATAGGAGTTTACTATTTATTTCCAATATCCAGAGATACCTACACACAAACTTTCTTCCAAGTTACATGACATGCATTGAGCAATTTCAGATTTTCTTGCAGAACAGTTTTCCAGGGTAATAGCAAAGAATTTCAAAAGTGTATGTTGCCTTTGTCACAACTTTCAGCAGAAAATTATCTAACCTTTTCTTTCAAATTTATTATTTTTAATTGTATTTGGTATTATATTATTATTATTTAAAGGGTAGAAGTAAAAAAATTTGCCAATATAATATAGACAATGAAACAATAAAGCTGATTCAGTTGATCAAAATATCTTCTGATAAAAACTAAGTGTTTCAGTAATTGAGAACCAAAGGTTATAACATGGAAGATGAAGAACCTGCTTCTGTTCATGTGTCTAATGACAATACCTAAGATCTCAACTTACCATTCTTGAGTAAAGTAAGAGGGAAGATGGTAGCTAATAATGACAAAAATTTTAAGTAGCCTTCTATTCATATTGAAATAAAATTCACACAATCCAATTAAGCCAGAGATTTATCATTAAAAAATAAATTAGGAAAAAATTAATTGAGAGAGCCATTGCTTACATAAGAGAAGTCTTCAGCATTCTGACAGAGTAGCTTGGGAAAAACAGCCTGTCGCTGAAATCTTTCCTCGTCTTCAAAGATGTTCCCATACATGAAGCCATTCATCATGGTGGAGTGGGCATGGATGTCAATATAGAACTCCAGGTTAATCTTCTGTTGAGGGAAAACAAGAACAACAAAAAACATTCAGTATGAGATAAATCATAACTATGTTATGGAGGTGAAACCTCCCATAAATCCAGTACTGCCATCCTTGAATCTAACCATGGTGCCAGCATCAGAGCGTCATGCTAAAGATACTGCTTCGATGCGTCCAGCCATTCGTGCCTCTTTGTGGGTGCATGTGAGACGCAACACAGGACCATGATAGACATTTCTTTACCTGTTCTGAGAAGGCTGGAACATTTATGCAGCACAGGACACTGTGCAAAAGCATTATCCTTCACTTTGATACAGGGCTTAGTGCCACTGATAAAAATATGCTCCTTCCAGTTCTAGAGCATGATTGTTCGGGCATAGCTTTGCCATCTCTGCACAGTTCTGCATCACAATATGCAGATGTACCCTTCTGCCAGGAAAGACAGGCTCAAAATTGTGTAAAAAAGACTTCATTATTTCCTGTGTAGTTTATTTCGGTTTATAAGGAGAAATACCACAAATGTTTTTATCTTACTCTGCTTTGTAGTAGTAATTCCACAAAACAACTCCCCAAAACAAGTGCCTTGAATGCCTCTCCACTTGTAGCTTCCCATGTGATTTGGCAACAACTCTTGCTTCAAAAGAAAACACCAGGACCCCCTAACACAGAAGTACCTGCACTCCCCATACCCTTCCTGGATTGGCAATTCAGTGTCAGAAGGCTCCGTAAGAAAACGTTCCTCTAGTCTCCCGTCCAGGGTCACATCTTTGTCCTCACATCATATATAACTGATACTATCTCCCCTGCCATTAGTGGCAAAGAGTGAATGTTCACCTTCATCACCATGTACAGTGCCATTGACAGCAGTGAGAAGGCAACATCCAGTACAAAAAAATGCTACCAGGGCAGATCCCACTGGATTACCCAGAGTCTCCTCAAATTCCTGCAACTTCTGGTCCTGAACAAATGGTGCTCTGTGACTAAGTGACAAACCCACCCCTGTCACCTGGCCACCATGGGGCCAGTAAGAACCTTCCTGGTGACCAGAGGGTTACAGTTCAGTTCTCCCTGCCCCAACAGGGGAATGAAGAAGAGCTGTGTTAGCAGGACAGGGATTACAGTGCTTAGCCCTGTACCGCTCAGCAGCAAATAGGGACCCTGGCCAGTAAAATACAACATGTAGCTCTCCGGCCACGTCTCGTCTGCAGGCAAAGCTTGCTGAGGCTACTGAAGAATACTGAGCTACAAGACAGTCCGATGTAACACAAACAGTTTGTATTACGCAGTTCATGTGACAGCAGTGTCAGCTCTTCTGGAGGGTCTCTGATGAGGGGAGAACACCATTCGGTATATGAAACTAACATGATACACATTTAGTTTCCCTTGGCAGAAAACCAATGTACAATACACAGTGACTGTTCAGTTTAATTAAACAGCCTAGAGAGAGTAACACTGTATCTTATTAAGCCTCTCCTGTGTTAAAATGTTAGCAAATGCAATATCAATATCTGACCATGCTTCATAGGAAAAGGAACATTTGATTGTATTTGACTCTAATACAATAAATTGTTTGCTCCTGCCAAAACATTATGCTGTGCTATAGAGGACCAACACTGCAATAAAGCACACATCTGCTATTTGGAGATATAGCGCTGAGGAGAAAGATTAGCATTGACAGGATGAAATACCACATAGGATTTTCTTCCTCTCCAAGCATACAGAAATCAAACCCAAGATTGAGTAATATTATTTTTCATAAGATAATTTCCCCATCAGAAACAGAATTTGATGAGATCAGATGCAGGCTGGCATATCACCATAAAACAGAACATGTTGTAGAGTCTCAAAACAGTGATTTGATGATGAAGCGAGGAGATAATCATGTTAAACTGGATATTTGTAAAGCATGAATGTCCTTCACAGAGAAGTCAGTGACCTAAGTCATACTTATTTTAGAACAAGTAGACAGAATTCTTTATAGAGACATATTTACTAACATAAAGTAATTGAGAAGCACAGTGAGATATATAACAACAGACTAGTATCATTTGTGTCTTAAACACCACAAATAAAGGTGCTGGCATAAACTGTATGATTTGTGCTGTGTCATACTATACATATTCATCCGTAGTTACAAAATTGTTTCCAAAAGAACGTGTCTGCAAACAGGGACACAGAGGCAAACTTTCCATAGGCTACCCAGCAAGAAATTCAGCTGCAGGACATGGGTGACCTGAACCTCAGCTTAGTATTCAATTGATCAAGTCATCCAGTCTAACATAGTATCACTAGAGAATATTTCCTAAACTCTCCTAGGATTCTCGCTATTGCTGATAAAAGTGTTCCAGAGAATTTTAGAGAATCTCTTGGGGTGCTGAAATTTCTTTGAAGATCTCTCTTCACCATCAAAATAGTTTTCAAATAGTCTGGTTACAATGGTTATTTGTGAGGGAACAGCGTCCTTCAGAGATATAACCTTCACCTAAAGATTAAGCTTCCAGCTTGCTTATTTGGAAACCATGACATTCAACAGATAGCTCATCACCCAGACAAGTGTTTAAAAACATTTATCCAGTCATTCATTACAATGTATTTCAAAAGTCATTTCCTAAGTCAGCCCACAATGACTATTCAACTGCTTTTTCTGGTCTCTGTTCCTTACCCTCCTCCTGAACATATAAAAAACTCTATTTCACATATTCCTACCTACTAAATATAGTCCAAATTTGCAATTGTCCATCCTACTCAGTAAGTTGTTAAACATTGCTAGAATAGTTGCCAGTTAGATGTACTACTCCCAGATGCTACTGTACATAAGTAGAACAGCATTTCAGTGTTTCACACTTCTTTTCTTCTCATCACATTCATTATTTTATCAAAGGGAAACATGTTGAGCATTATCCATTACAGAACAAAATACTTCAGTGCATTGTTAATATAAGACATGAGTTCCCAATGGAAGAACTCTCTTTATTTACAGACACAAAGACATTGTGGCCTTAAAATGGACAGTAACAGCCCAGTCACTGGGACGTTAAACTCAAAGTTTGCCACCTCGTGCCCCAAGTAGTAGACAATTTGTTTGCAGACAAGTTTCATAAAAGAATAAAGATATGTTCCTGAACAATAATGGTATTTCTTTTCTCTCTTTAGAGTCGTATGTATTCATAAGTACTTTATGGGTAGGAACCATTTCACCCACTGCCACACTACAAATCTAAGCTAGGGAATAAAATTTCATATTTCAGTTGAGGTTCTCTGGAAGATATTGACATAATTACTGATCTCCTGCAATTTAGGCAGGATCACAGAATTAACATTTTATTAAGCATATAATGTCACCTACTGATGGGAATTTCAGAAAAATCAGCAGAGAGCTAACCTTCTGGAATTACTTCTCTTTGAGATAGGGAGAATTTTAATGGGAGAATGAAGTTAATAAATGTATGTGTGCATTTACCTGAGTACATACAAACACACTTAAAACATAAAGCAATCCTATCTGCTGTTAAGCCACAGAGGTATCTGTCAGTATATACACAGCACAACCCACCCCAGTTGTGGCTTCTAATGCAGTAGCATCTACAAGTAAGAATGGGAATAAATTTAGAGGTGGCTCAAAGTCTCATAGTCACATTTGCTTCAGCCTTTAAGCAGAAAATAATGAATAACCAGGCTCAAACATCTCTAGATGCCATAGCTGCCTTCTGAGAGACTTACAAGTTACATCCTACAATATGATATTAAACTCATCACTTTCTGCTTTAGAGGTAGAATGCAAAATGATTCAGATGCCTTCTAAAAATCATCATGCAATTTAATTCCCTCAAGTGTCTTTTCTTTGTGCTTACAAGCAGCAGCAGAGATTTTCTCTCTGAGACTGTCTTTCGTAAGTAAAGCTGTAATTACCTGGATGACCCAGCTTACAGAGCTGGAGAAAACAAAGGCAGACTTGGTTTTCTTTTCTCTGTCAAAACAGAAATCACTCACTAGACTGAGAGAGACAATGATTGAACCCTACTTCCTAGAAAACAACAGTTAACATTCTCTCCCTTGAAAAGAATGGTCTTTGCCTCTTCTTGCCACTTACCACTTCTTGCCACCTACGTAAAACCAGAATACATAAATAACCAAACGAATTTCTGCTCTAAAGTTCATTTGAATCCCTGCCTTTGTGACACATACTTTCCACTGTTGTCCTAAAGTTTCTGGCAGTTTGAGAAATATACATATAAATTAGGGAGGGAGGGGAAATGACAGAAATTATGGTAAAGAATAAGCGCTCACATGCATTGTCAAGATATGAAATAGTCAAAGTAATACAGAAACTGGAAACTGGTTCATGATGCCATGTAAAGTTTTGAGAAATATATTCTCACCTGTTTGGATTTTGATTTCATTAGGTGAATGCCTTTGAAAGGTCAGTAATTAAAGAGCAAAAGGAAAGAATGATGTTAACAGCTAGTGCTGCTATGACCAAAGTTAGATTTCGAACAGTGAAATTATGATTCTTAAGGAAACAGAGATTTAATAAATAAATAAAAAAAAAAGCAATAAATGCTGTAATAAAAGGATAAATGTGCATTGAGCCCAGAACATGAGCCACTAGAGAGACAATGATGCAGGAAGAAGCCAGCTCTGTCCACCAGCTGTCACTTCAATATGGGTTTTATTAATTCTTGGGCGTAGCAATTGGTTTAGAGAGAGAGCGTCCAAAAGCCTTCTTCACTTCAATATTTCATACAGGGGATGGGATAAACTCCTTGCAAATGTTTTATACAAGCCGTTAAAACCATGGCTTGTCATTACTGGTAGAGAACATAACAACCTCCAGGCAGACTTTGCACTCTTACTGCTAAGCCATTGTTTGAAACAAATGGACATACAACAGTTGGCACAGCAGAAGGCATTTGCCCCTTTTGGTTCAGAAAAGATTCAGAAATTCCCAGAAGACTGGCTCTTTGATGCTTCCTCAGGTCCAGAATCTTTCAAAAGAAAATTCTGCAGGGATCTC